TTGTCTGGGATTGACTCCTGTCTTTATGGTTTGATAGTTATGCATAGTAGGACTTTCTCTTGAGGATCACCAGCCCCCAAATAATGACATGGAAACTTATTATTAATCATGAAAGCTTGGTCTTTCGTGTAGGCTTATTTCCAACTAACTCTTACAACTTAATTAACTTGCTTCAGCTAATCTACATATTGCCATATGGCATTTTACCTCCTCCATTCTGTATGTCCATCTCCCTCCGTGTCTTGCTGGCATCTCCCTCATGCACTTAGACTCATCCCAAGTTCCTCCCTCTGCCTGGAAGTCCCACCTAACCTCTCCTGCCTAGCTATTGGCCATTCATCTCTTTATGAAACCAATCAGGTGCCTTAAGCAGGCAGGGTAAAACAGCGACGCATCTTTACACAATGTGCTCAGACGCCCCACAGCAGCTATGGGTCACTGCAAAAGCCATTTAAGTTCACGGTGTCTCAGTCACCTACCCTATAAAATAAAAGTATTATTACATTATTGTGAGAGTAAATGAAATTAGGTATATGGCATGCTGAACATTTTCTTTTCATCGTCTGGAGTGTTACTGTTTCTAATGGCTCCTTTGACTGGAGTACACAGGGTACGGGCAGTGACCACACCCCCAGGAGTGGACTGCCTGGTCACACAGAACACAGTGAGTCCTTTCCTAACTATTCAGAAGAATCTCTGGGCATTCCCAGACAAATACAGGTTATAATGGGACAATACTGTCACAGATTTATTCTGCCATTTCACCTGCCACCATCCTTTCAAGTATTTGCACAGCTGCCCCCCTTCACAAAAACCTTGAGAAATTATTTCCCCAGCACATATTTAAGGAGATATGCAAGATTTTTCATTAGATGCAAAGGCTGTAATTTCTGGTAACTGAAATTTTAAAATAGTGACAGTCATTAAAATATGTGCCAAACAAAATTTAAATATTGCAGTGATTTGACACCAACAATTAGCCATTTAAAAATATACAAACAAGTTCTTATTTAATCATTAGAATTTATAATTTTTTCTTTTTTCTTGAAATTATTTGATGGTGTGACACTTATATTGAGACCTTTTTATTGTCCTATTATCCTTTTCTGCAGTCAAAATGCAGCTGAATTGTGACTGAAATTTGTTTTCATTCCCATTATCATGGCTCACTAAGCATTAAGCATTTTTCTCTAGATTTAATCCTTATTAAGTTTTTATAAGTAAACAGGTTGGACAGACAGATCCAAATACAAGTTTTAGTAATATATATTTGTTCGATAATTATTACAACACGCAAGAAAACTCTTTGTATTCTTTCCCCTTTCCTTTGTATCCATGCAAAGAACTCATACAGGGTCCTGGGTCAAAAATCCCAGGTACCAGCCTGAGCAGATGGCCCAGATCATTACTCCTGCCCTTTCAGCTTGATGTAATGCCTGGGTTGAGACATGGTCCAAACAGCCAGGATCCTCCACAAGGCCAAGCCACTGAGCTCCTGTGGAAATGCTTGGATCTACTCAAGCCAATTGGGATAGCTCAGCAAATGTTCAATAGGATCAGACAGGGAGGACCAACAGCTATGCCGAGGCTCATCATGATCCCCAAATAAACCCTGTGATGGTCCAAATTTAAAATACAGAGAGAAGGAAAAATTTAGCCGGACATTGTAATGCAAGCCTGTGTTCTCAACACTTTGAAAGTTGAGGCAGGAGGAATGAAAGCTTGAAGCTAGCCTGGGCTATACAATAAGACCCTATCAAGAAAGGAAGGAAGGAAAGAAGAAAGGAAGGAAGAAAGGGAGGAAGGAAGGAAGGAAGGAAGGAAGGAAGGAAGGAAGGAAGGAAGGAAGGAAGAAAGGAAGGCAGGCAGGCAAGCAGAAAGAAACAGAGAGAGATTCCAAATGACATAAATGGAAAAATGATATGGTGTTGTTGTTGGGTTTTTTTTTTTTTGTGAGGGGGTTCTGATACAAGATTTCTCTATATAACATTCCTGGCTGTCCTAGAACTTGCTCTGTAGCCCAAGCTGGCCTCAAACTCACAGCAATCTGACTGCCTCTGCCTCCCAAGTGCTGGGATTAAAGGTGTGTACCACCATCATCACCTGAGGCAAATTATAGGGTCTTAATTAAAAGAAGTATCTTGTCTAATACTTTTTTGCTATTTGCCATAAAGCAAGAGTGATCGAGTGGATGGAGCCCCAGACTGTATGTCTTACCGCCTAGAACTGTGCCCGGCACACACAGCCATTCAATGTGTGTGGTCAGGTGAGTTGTCCCTATGACGTCCTCAAGGGTTTTATCCCTGGGAAAAAGCAGTTTAGAAAACTCTAAGGCAAAGCACTTTAGACTCCTCTGTAAGGCAAAGAGGAGGAACTTGTAAAGGGTACAAAGAAGACAACTGAGAACCCAATGGCTCAGCGGTTAAGAGCACTGATTGCTCTTCAAGAGGACCTGGACCCAGCACCCACGTGGCAGCTCACAAGTGTCTGTAACTCTAGTTCCGGGGATCTGTATCCTTCACACAGACATACATACAGACAAAACATCAGTGCATTAAAAATAAATAATTAAATAATTTAAAAAACAAACAACAGCAACAACAACAAAAACAAGTTCAGAAGATTCTGATCTTATCTGTTGTAAGAGTTTGTATGCAGCAAAACTGAGGAGTAACAGCCGACTCTTTTAGAAAGACTTCCTTGCTCAAGACTCAGCTTTAGCGCAGAGTCTGCCGAGGCGGCAGTTCTTCTGGGGAGAAGCTGTTGGCTTCAGGAAGAGGAGATTCTTTCAGTGTCATCATTTCAGGCTGGATACTTCCCAAACCAGAATCAACCTAAAAAGAAATGCTGGGTGAGACATGCGGGCTTAACTCATTCCACGAAGAGCTGGGAAAGCAGATGCATGGAGGGGCGTGGGTATCCGAACTTCAAGCCAACAGTGGTGGCGATTGTTGAAATGACATTAACTCTCAAAGTCAAGATACAGAGAGAAACTGACACAGAGACAGAAGGACCCATGAACTCACTCAAGACACTCAAATATCTGTGGTCATGGAATGGCCACCATGTTTCTGGGGCAGTGCTGGGTGTTGGAGTAGATAAGCCAAGAGGGAGGCTTAACATGGAAGTTGTGTGGCAAATGTTCTAGGCATTGTGAGCACTCTCTCTCTCTCTCTCTCTCTCTCTCTCTCACACACACACACACACACAGAGAGAGAGAGAGAGAGAGAGAGAGAGACTGAGAGCCAAGTACTCTAACACTGAGTTCTATCTTCAGTCCCTTCCTTCCTTTCAATAAATCCTATTTTAGGATTTGATAGGAGTGAAATTTACTCATGGCAGCAAGAAGCCTCCTACTGTGCTCCAAACTTCTCATCAAATATACCTCTCTGAGATAAGTTCTCCAGAAAATATTGTAGAGTCCGGTGCCTCTGATGATTATACCTGACTGAACTCAGCTTCCAGTTTCCAGCCGTCCAGATAAATCCTTATCAGCTGTTCACCTGAGGAGGCTTAAGGCAGAGAGTGGGGCTTGCTTTTCTCTCTGATCCTGGCCACAGCAGTACAGCACCCTAACAAACCAGTTCTCAGTGGCCTTTCAAAGGCCGTATCAGTTGTCTTTCCTTCCCACCCCACCCCCCAGAGACCCAGAGGAAGAGAGGGGGAAGGGGAAGAGGAAGACCTACTTGGGTAGACTGGAAAGAGCTCCATGTTTTCCACGGCATCTCACTCCTGGAAACAGTACAGAGGCTAACACAGCAGCCACCTGGAAGTGGGGTTCAGAGAGATGCACAAAGCAAGGCCTCCAGCAGAGTAGGCCTTTCCCTGCTGCGGTGGGAGTGGCCCCTTGCCTGGAGGACTGAGCACATCTGCCTGACAGCCTGTGACGCAGTCAGGGAAGGAGTCTGCAGACCTCCTAAATACTGCCATTTCCACAGCTGAAGACCAGGTCCCCTTGGAAGTCTATGACACACACCAGCGCCTCCCAGCCCACAACCTCTCCCCTCTTCTCCTGAGCTCCCCAGCTCTCCATGTCCCCAGGCCCCTCAGACTTTCTTATGAGGCCTCCCATACTCAAGCACCCAGCCTGTGTAACCCAGCCTTCCAGGGAGACTTTTAACTTTGTTTAGCAGCTTCTCAACATAACCACCTCTTCCTGTTTGGTCCTCTGGCTCCCTAGCTCCCTTCCTTAACTGGGTCACAAGTGGCTTCCTTCAGAAGTATTATTTGAGAAAGTCCACAAGCAGAAACCAGAAGGATGCAAGCACCACAGAAAATGTGTCCATGGCTGTTAGTAAATTCCACTGCTGTCTTCTCTCCAGGTCCCTTGCCATTGAAAAGAGGCGAGGGGGAAGGGGAGGGGGAAGGAAAGAAGAGACTGTGGGAATGGATGAGGACATGAATTTGAAAGCTTGCAGGCCTTTGTACAGCAATGGCTCTGTTTAAAAGCAGAGAGGGACCAGCCAGGGCACCGAGGAAGGTCACCAACAGACTAGACACCGAGAAACCACAAGCCCTGGAAGCAGAACTGGCCGTGACTCCCTGCTCTTCTCCTGTGACAGGGAAACTCTCTTCGTCCTTCTGCTGTGACCATATAATGATGGCCTAATGTCTGCATCCTGCATTTAGCAAGTGCTGGATCAACAAAATGAAAAAAGTTTCTGCGTTAGCCCACGTTTCCCCATTGCTATGACAAAATGCCGAAGACTGGATAAGTCATAGATAAAAGAGGAAAGAAAGTTCAAGAACATGGCGCCAGCATCTGCTCAGTTTCTGGTGACATGACAACATGGTAGAACAGGGGAAGGACGCAGGCTTGTAGCAGGGGCATGTGTTCAAGAGAAGACAGAGGTCAGCCTGCTTCTAGCAGCCCATTCCGCTGAAGGGACCTAGCTCCCTCCCTCCAAATGGACTTCACTTTGGAGAAAACTAACTCAGGGTCTTGACAAAGACATTCATCCACTCTGGAGTAGTGCCACGTGACCTAATCATCTTCTCTAGTCCCCATCTCTAACATTCCTGCCACCATCAGAGACCAGGCTTCCAGTTCATAAGCGTTTGAAGGAGAGACCGTATGCAGACCCTAGCAGTTTCTAGTGGCAACGTCAGGATAGGCAAAGGCGATGTAGTAATAAGTAACTTCAGTGGTAATTCACCAAGCACAATTCAATCTGTGGGACAATTCTGTGAGCTCCACATGACCGTTCTAACTGCTGCAACGACTGGAAAACGAAGTACAGAGATCAAATACCTGCACAGGTCAAAGGGCTATGGAAAGACCACGCCTGTGCTTGGACACAAGACTGTGACCTGCCGCAAGCTGTCCACAGGGCCTCTCTGCCATGGAATGCATGCTTTCCAACAAGGTAGCCTCAAGCCATGTGTGTGTGTTGTTGGGCACTGTGTCCACTCATCCACTCATGCATGTATGCAGTTTTTTTTTTAACAGATCTTTCTATGTAACCCGGGTTGACTTCAAACTCTGTCACTCAAGTGACCCTCCTGCCTCAGCCTCCGGAGGAGCTGGGATTACAGGTGTTTACCACTGCACCAGATTTGCTGAGTACTAAAATGTGACTAAGGAACTCACTTTTAAATTATATTTAATTTTTAATGAACTTAAGTTTAAATACCACATGTTATCACTTCAGGGATCTCAGCTCAAGAGGCCAAACTACTAACACTAAAGAAGTGTCTGATATGGGTAACGAAAATAAGATTAGGATAAGCTTCTTTGTGCACAAAACACAGATGTGATCCAGCGAGCTACTGCTGGTATAATGTCACTGTGTTATTTTCTATTTGACAGTTACCCCTGTGGCAAACTTATTTTCTAGTCACAAGAGTGATTTTTTAAAAGTATTTTTAAGCATTTTTTATTTTAAGTATTTTTTTAAGAGTAAAAACAATTGTGTGCGTGTGTGTGTGTGCATGTGCGCGTGCGTGTGTGTGTGCGTGTGCGCGTGCGTGTATGTGTGTGTGCGTGTGTGTGTGTGTGTGTCTGTGTGTGTGTCTCTCTGTGTGTGTATGTGTGTATGTGAGTGTGTGTGTGTATGTGTGTGTGTCTCTGTGTGTGTGTATGTGTGTATGTGAGTGTGTGTGTGTGTGTGTCTCTGTGTGTGTGTATGTGTGTATGTGAGTGTGTGTGTGTGAGTGTGAGTGTGTGAGTGTGAGTGTGTGTGTGTGTGCGTGTGTGAGTGTGCGTGTGTGTGTGTGTGTGCGTGTGTGTGTGTCATGTGCCAACGCTGTGGAGGCAGGAGAAGGAATCAGATCTCTAGGGCTGGAGCTGCAGGAGGTTGAGCTGCTCCATGGAGGTGATGGGAAGCAAACTAGGGTCCTCTGAAAGAATAAGAAGCCCTCTTAACCACAGAACCATCTCTCCAGTTCCCAAGAGTAATGTATCAGCTTTTAAAGATCAATTAAAAAAATATAACACTTTACGTTGTCTTGGTCACTTCTGTCGGTGTGATAAAAACAGCACAACCAAGGCAATGTGTAAAAGAAAGTGTTTAGTTTGGCTCCTGGCTTCAGAGAGTTGAAATCCATGGAGCGGGAAGATAGATAGACACGAGGAATGTTCTAAATCTTTTGAAATCTAACACACCTCCTGCAACAAGGCCACACGTCCCAATCCTTCCCAAACAGTTCCACCAAGTGGGGATCAAGTCATCAAATAGTCAAAGCTATTCTACAACCCCCAACTTCAATCTCTCTCATATAGAAAAGGTTATGTCTGTTGTAAGTACACATATACCTGGCTACATCCTGAGGACACAAATGTATCAGACCTGCCATTGTTCTGTATTGGAAACAACCCTTCCTTCAGCCTCCATGTATCCCTTTTACATGTCACTGAGTGGCTGAGTCAGATTTAACTCTTTCCCTATCGACCTACATCTTTTTATTTGTTTGTTTGTTTTGTTTTGTTTTTCGAGACAGGGTTTCTCTGTGTAACAATCCTGGCTGTCCAGGACCTCACTTTGTAGACCAGGCTGGCCACAAACTCACTGAGATCTTCCTGCCTCTGCCTCCCAAGTGCTAGGAATAAAGGCGTGCACCACCACCACCTGGTGATGGATGTCCATCTTTAAAGTTTTGCCTTTAAAGATAGCATAGCCAAGAGTGCCAGTCACCACGGAGCTGCACTTTTGTGAGCCTGCTCCCTTAGTGGAAATTCAGCGGAGTCTGCTCTTAACTGCCCAAGAAACATCTCTCCAACTCTTATTTACCAGTACTAACAAAACAAACTCAGTTTTTGTTCACCCAAAGCCCCAGGACTCAGACTCGAGTCTCGATTGGTTTAAGTCAACCATATGATAACATTTCCTCTGAGATGATTGGCTGGTTAATGCCTGGGTATCCAGTTCAATTCTGCGCCTTGGGAAATAACAGAAAGTAGCTGATGGTCTTAGAAAAAAACAAGGCAGACAGGGACATCCTGCAAGGCTATCATCATGCAGGGTGGTGATTCAGCCACCAGGGAACCAGGTAAAAGAGCCCGACAAAGAAGCTGAGAAGGGAGGAGGGATGACTGACAACTCAGACCTGCAGAGCACTACCAAGCTGCCGCTGTAACGAATCCTGGAGCCCTGCTACCTCTGGGCCTCTTAGAAGTGGTTTTCTTTCAGGTAATTGAGGTAAATTAGGCTTATATCAGAGCCAAGAGCACCCTAACAAACATAGGCTGAATTGCTGGTTCAAAGGCAGCATACAGACTTTCTTGGGCAAGGAACCTCAAACCAGCTTCTGTTTCTTCTTCTAGCATGATGCAGAGGAGTTTCAAAGTCCTGGCTCTGCCTTCCATGCTCTGGAACGGGAGCTTTCCTGACACAGAAAGTGAGGCTTATCGGGGCAGCTCTCCATCAGATAGGCACCCCTGCCTACTGATGCACCCAGATGATACTAAGTTAAACAGAAACCCAGAAGCCCAACCATGTGAAAGACAGAGATATTTCAGAGCACGCTTCTCAGCCTTCCTCACATCATATTGCAGGCAGGAAATGATCACATTTTAGAGCACACAGGGGAAAGAGGACAGTGTTACTCAAAGTTAGTCACTTTCAGCCTGAGGATTCCAGTCGCCTTAGGTTCTGTGTGGTCTCCCTGAGAATGGAAGAGAGCGAGTTTCTTACCCATCAGAAACTCATTCATGGACCACTGGTTTTGAGTGCTTCTTTGAAATGGTTCCCATTCTAACATCTCTGAAACTCAGATGCCTCTAACAACCATCTGAGAAGTGGTGTCATTTGTGATGTCACTACCACTTCTTACCCTCACAAGAATTCACTCTGTTGGCCCCTCCTGGCGAGGGCAAGGAAACCTCATTGTCTTTGGGGGTTATTGTTAAATACGGACAGACCTGGAGTTTGATGTAATAATACATTTCTGGAGGTGGGTGATAGTGCTAATTGCTCAGTCAACTATGTAAAGATGCTCATTCAGCTGAACCCTTCCCAGAAATTGGCTTGTTCTGTGTAGTGTAAATTTACCATAAGAAAAGGGGGGGGGGATCATCTTAGCCTCAAACCCGTGCAGGTGTCAGTGACTTGACCACAGAGACAAGCGTGGACTGCACCTGGAGCTGAAGAGATGGCTCAGCAGCTGAGAGCACTTGCTGTTCTTGCAAAGGACCGAGATTTCATTCCCAGTACCCCTCTCATGGCTCACAGATATCCATAACTCCAGTCCCAGGGGAACTGAACCCTCCTCTGAATTTCAAAAGCACCAGGCATGTATGTGGTACACATACCTACATGCACACAAGAGACTCATACACATCAATCTAAAAATCTTCAAATACTGCACCTGTAATCTATGTCTCTGATGACAGAGATGATGATGAAGCAATGTGGCAAAACAAAACAAAACTAGATGCAAACACCTGAGTGGTGTGGGAAGCCCATTTGTATATGCGTTGCTGTTATTGGT